TCTTTCCTGCCTATGCAGGGGGTCATATCTATGATCTATTGAGGTCCCTTCCGACCCTAACATCTATGAATCTATAAGATGAAAAAGCGAGTACTTGGAAAGTCTTAAGTATTTCCCTGCCTTTTCTCCTCTTCTCTCTTTTTTGTGACTTGGAAGGACCCAGAAAGGGGATGCAAATAATTGAGGATTGTTTTATGTTCACCCTGGAGGAGCCCCCAGGGGAAGGGCTGAGCATACTCAAGCAGACTGAGAACTGTTCAGGTTGGCACTGGAAGGGCCCACAGCAGTGGGATAGCCAGAGGACCATGAACTGTTTATGAGACACTGTGAGGTAGGGGCCTGCTCTTTGTCCTTTTTTTGTGTGTTTGTTCTGCTCTGCTCATGACAGTAGATGTGCCTGTGAGTGGAGGCAAGGAGGCTGTAGAGCAGTGTGCCCAGTGTACTGTGATTTTTCCTGTAGTTTTTTCTATTTTCTTTTTTTTTTTAGTTCCTTTGACAGTTTTGGAGCAAGAGACCTAGGAGGGGGCCAAAACTTGGACTGGCCAGAGTCTGGACTGAAGAAATAAGACAGGCTTATCCCAGCAGGGCTTTGCCTCCATCCACTGATGAAAAGTGGGACAGGAGAAAAGGGTAGGGGGGGGGAGGGGCAGAACCCCACACTGCCTAGTCAGACTCGGGGCCAGGGGCAAGATAAGGAGACAAAGTGCCTAAAGCCTAGGCTTAGGTTACCTAAAGACAGACTCATGAAGAAACATTTGCAATAACACCAAACCACTGCAGATGAGCAAGAGAGACAGGAGAGACAGAGCACACAAGAGAGAAACAGGAGACACAGAGACAGAGAGAGAAGGTCCGGACTAGGAAACCAGATAGCCAGGTGCAGCCCTGCCACAAGGGGACGGTCAGTCATCCCCACAGGAGCATCCCATTACAACTCCCTTCTTATGAAAGGCTCTCATTTCCTCTGATTATAGAACACTGCTTATACTAAGTTCCATGAGGGTGGTAACACAGTCAAAGCAACAAATGAACAATATTTCATGGCTGCATTTATAGACTGGAAAAGAAAATAACATGGCTGTTAAGGAGACCAAATGGCAGATGATGAAAACCTGCAAGAGTCATCTCTACTGATTGTAAGGAAAGGAACAATAGCTTGGAAATGTTTTGGCAAACTGGATGTGTGGCAATGGAGAGAGATATGGATCTCATTTTGCAATGATCACAGATGGACTTGCTTACTGAAATACACATTTCAGTGACAGCAGCAAAACTTCTTGAAGATTTTCACTCCTTCCAATCAAGCCTTCTTTAAGACAGTTATTAAACCACTCAAAGTCATGCCTGATCTATACACATAGACAACATGCTCCTTGACAACGTTTTCTCCTTACCTCGTAGAGTGTAATGATACCATTTGTTTCATTTGGAGGCTTCCACTGAACATAAATCTTCTCTTCAAAAGGTCCTCCCTGGATAGATTCCAAAGGAACAGGCCCAGGAACTATGAAGAAAATGAATGGGATGTTACTAATTTCCATAAACTCCAACTGCCACATGCACATAACCTAGAAATGCTAGGGTCCTTCAGCACTGTCTGGTACTGGTCTGGTACTCTAGATCTGAGAGTACGTATACCATAGATATCGTGGACCAGTTAGAAACATTTAAAAAGGCATTGGTGCCCAATTACTCTTGTTCTACTCTTGACCTGAGGGTAGAAACAGAAACATTTATACACACAAAAAGCAGATGCATATCATGGTGCTACTATCTGGCATGCTAATATTCCAAAATGTTCCACCAACAAGATTGAGACAGTTTATTAAGAGTTACCATTGTAGAATCAAAAGTTATAAAAGTTAAAGCTACAAAAGACCATTTAGGTTATTATTAGGGCCGTGTGAAATTTCGCGGGCTGTTTCATTTCGACACCGCCTTGACTCATTTCGAGCTCAAAACAGCAAAATTGAAATAAAATGAAGGGCTTCAAAATAGCTTCTAAACAAAATGAGGGCAGCCTAAACATTTTGAACATTTCGAAATGTTTCGAGTTTCGAAGCAGCTTGGCTAAGTTCCCTTCCCCAGCGCTGCAATCGGGCTGTGGAAGGGAACTCAGCCCAGCCCAGCTGAGTTCCCCTCCCCAGCCCGATCCTAGAGCTGTGGCAGGGAACTCAGCTGAGTTCCCTTCCCCAGCCCAATCAACACATTGAAACTGTTTCAATGAATTGAAACATAACAGTGTTTTCAAATCGAAAAAAAAACTCTAAATGAAACACTGTTCCCTCAAAATGTCAAAACAGATGTCGAAGGGGAATGCTGTTGTTTGCATAGCCCTAGCTATTATCAGCTAATGCTTCCTTTGCATATCTGCACGCACACTTGCTTCTCCTGTCCTTATGGAGGAATGTCAAACCCAAACCAACTACAGGTCCAAATGTCCTACTTTTCAGGTGCCCATGGGCTGCTCCCTGTCTCTTGCCAGCAACTGTCACTGGAGTACTGGCAGCCCCAGCAGCGCTATGGATGGAAGGTCTGCTACTACGGATGGCAGAATAGCAGCAGTGCATTCAGTTACTCACTAACCCAATCCTATGGCCTTTCCTGTTCCGGGACAAGCACAGGCATGACTGGTCCTGGGACAAATGAAATGTCTGTTTATAACCTTAATTTTTTAAGATACTAAAACTCCCTCGTTTAAATAAACTTAACATAGTCCCAAATCAACTTATATCAGAATCATAATAATATTTACCATTTGCAAAGCATTTTCAAGTATTGTCCTCCCTTTACAGAATAGAAACCAAGGCTCAGTGAAAGCCCAATCCTATCCACAGGGACTCTTTGAAAAATTGGAGCTAAAGTGCCTTGCTTTGTGTCAGATCAATCAGTGACTAAGCTGTGAACAGAGCCATCAGTATTCTGTTGACTGGAGAATGCCATCCCTAATTCAGAAGGCACAAAGGGCCAAAAGATATACCTAGCAATTCTAGAGATCATCACAATTGCTTTATGCTCACAAGCTTATTTAACAGCATGCTGTCTAAGCTAACCCTGAGAAGACAGTGATAGTAAACATGTTCTTGTATATAAAATGTATGCATGCACTCTGAAAGAGCCATTTGTCCAAAAAGCATGAAAAAATTGTGCATCGGGTATGCTGGCATTCATGCTTTGTATGCTTTGATATGGCATTAAGTTGTTTAAAATGCCACAACAGTTCTGTATTGAGTATAAAACCAAAATACCACAAAGCTAGAGACTAAAGCTGCTTACAGACATGAAAAAAGAAAAGTGCGCTTCACTTTCAGCTCGGCGTGCCTCTGTACCAAGCACAGCACAAGCACAGAAGAGGCTTCATGTTAGTTTGACCCACCTTGCTCAAATCTGTATAAATCAGGTGCTTCAGCAGGGGTCTTTTTGCACTTTTGTCTAATAGATGATTGAATCAGCTTTAGATAAAAGCACCAAAAAGCCCCGCTGAAGTGTCCGATATATACAGACACTGGGGATCCGGGTCAAACTAACATGCTTACTCTTCCAGTAAAGCACTGCGGTTCCCACCCCCACCAATCTGTCAGTGGCCTAAGTCATGAGGTCTGCATTTAGGATGCATGAAAGTGAGACAATCTAAAGGTTAAACTTTTCCTCCTAGCCTGAAGATGGCCTTCTGGATAATTGTATTCATTATCTTATCTCTTAGTTCCTTTTATAAGTATTCTCCCTTGTAATAAATACTTATCAGATGCCTTGTCTTCATTATCTGCTCCTCATGCACATTCTGGCATGGAAGTCCAGAAAGGTTATTCTTATTACAGTGTCATTCAAACAAAATATTTAAATGCAAAGTGCCAATTACCAGAAAATGTCTTTGACTGCTAAACACCAAGGTTTAGGCCCGAAACTCTTCCATCACTGAATAAATCTATGATAGAAAAAATTGTCCAGCAAGAGGTACCAATGGCTGCATCCCACTACCTCAGCTTTAACCAACAGATTGTTCTGTTGAACAGTTTAGAAGTCACAGGAAGGTTTTTAGGTCCTCATTTAAGCCTAAAATGTCACGAATCAGAGAATAAACATGAGAAAGCCAATAGTCAGCCATGAAGACTTTACTAATACATTCAAATCCCACACTAGGTAGGCACTCAGGCTTTGAAATGCATCAGTTCTGCATTCCACACCCATGAGCCAATCAGAGCATCCAGACGTGGGATTTAGCATTCTAATAAGATGTCCGTGCTGGGAAGCTGTACCAACAATTTTTTCAACCACCTGGTAGAAGGCTGATAATTGAGTAAATGTGTTCTAGTGACTGACCACCTGATTAGTTACAGCACACTTTTTTCTTGCCTGCATAACACAAAAGGTCATGAAACCCTCTGATTTGGGTTCATCACATTTTGACTTTTATAGGTGAGCAAACTGGAGAAAGGCATTTAACATGTTGAGATAGATGTGCTTTGTCTGAGCCAGACATTTTATTAAGTCAGTGGGAAGCAGAACAGGGAAATTGAAAGAACGGATCTGCTGAGCTCTTACAAAAACGTTGCACAGCCGATTGTGACATGAGGTCTCACCCCTGGAGGAGGTAGACAATTATGCTGGAGCTCAACGAATTTGTGGAAAAATATAGCAACCTGTATAACCATAGATGTGTAAAAATACAGATTAGGTTACACAAGGAAGGATTATGACTTCAGGGTCATAAAGTGTTCAGTTCACACACATATTTAGGAGAAGGAAGACAGTTCGCCTCCAAAAAGGCAGAGTCAAGTATTTGCCTTCTATACAGCTGTGCACAAACTAACAAAGTCATGTTTTCCACATAACATCTACTTTTTGAGTCTGGCTCTAAAGACAGAAACATATACCCTCACATTTTGGGCAAAATCCTGGAGCTCAATACCTTAGGTAAAAAAACTTTTTTCTCATGATGCAGCATCTATACAAGTCAAACCCCTTCTCAATTGCCCATTGCAGCCCTGATGCTCCAGTAGCTCCGACAAAAGCTATGCTTTGGCTTGAACAAGTGCAATAGCACAATGGTGGATCCATAACACTTGCTCCACAGCCTTCACTGCCCCACAGCGCATTATCTTCACAAGATGACAAAGATGTCACCCACAAAGCTGATCTCCATCCAAGTGCTATTTACCCTCTGCATTAGGGGAATGCTGCATTAATGTGGGAGAAGGAAGACTTGCCCATTTATGAAAACAGAATGTCTTCACCTTTGGAACGCATCTCTAAAGAATTAGAGAGCATGACCTCCATCAGCAGTTGTAATCAATGCTAACCCTTCCCTCTCCCCACAAAAATCCACTGATCTTCAACCCATGAGAAACCATCACAGCAGCTCCTAACCTCAGTCCAGGAGCATTAGGGAGGAAATACACAATCCTAGAATGTGACGAAGTGTTGAGCAGGGACACTGCAGTCAGCTCTGCCATTAGAAGAGTATCCTCCTTTTTAGGGGCCAAATACATATTCTTTCTCTAAGTCTGTCAGTTCTGTAGTACGGAGCATATGCATTTTCCTCTGAGTTTTGTGTATTTACTTACAAGCCATCAAATATGGCAAACGGATGGGTCTGTGCAAGGAAATATCTAACATTTTGGTTTTAACCTTAAGAGACAGTTACATTCAGGTGTGAATTTAAACGTATCGTCTTTTTCTTCCATCACAGCAGTAAAACTCCATCTACATAAATAGCCAGATTACACCTTGGTATAGAGATGCTACTGGGCCTTTCCACCTTTATCAACACAAAAGGCTGATTTTCCCAGTAGAGTAACAATTCAAGATTTATATTTAATTATAGTTACAAGGGCAGCTAAAAATCTACTTACTCAAGCACAATTTTAATGCTGTGAAAGTTAACTAACTAAATGCGCTCCCAGTCCTGTCTGACAAAACCCCGTTGGCTTCCTTGAATTAATAAAGGCCTGTTGTCTCCCAAAGTCCTCCTTGTGATATGCTATAATGCCAAACTCAGTTTCAGCTGAGAGAAATTTAGCAGTGTAGCTCCTAATGGTTCAGGCAAGGAAAGGATGCTTCCTTGGTACCTGTTAGAATGCTTATAAATGGTGAAGGCTCTTAGTTTGAATCTCAGCTAAGATGGGATAATAATACTTAACTACTTTTCATCTATACATCCTCAAAACACCTCTCCTAGAGTAAGGAGGACAGAATCTGTACTGCTGGTTAATTAGCCCCCAAATACAGAATACATTGGGTTATAATTTGTCCCAGAATGCTCAGTTATTGAGCAGGTGCAAGGTGGAAATTAAAGTGAAAAAAATCTTTATCAACATTACTTGACTACCTAAATAATGCTGAGTCCTCAGAATGTCAGTTGCCTATGCACCCTTAACAATGAACCTCCTGCATCTGAACTGACGCAGAAATCCAGCTGAAACAAGTCAATGGTCCTATAATTAAAATGTGTACCATAAAGTATATGCAGGGATGGGCAACTGAACATTTGTCATTTCTTAACATGAGCACTTGATTTTTCAGCCTACACAATTATCTTTTTTCTCTCTCTCTACTTTGAATTAAGTTTTCTAGGGCTTTTTAAAAATAACTTCTATTCTGTAAAACTGTAATAATTCCCACATATTGGATATCAGCAGGATTTGAAACACAAAGGCTTTATTATCACTACTGTGTGTGTGTATCTACTTCAAATGGTACTAGGCCAAAAAAGCTTCCATTACACCAAATCAAGTAAGCCATAGGAGAAGAAAAGCTGTTCTCAGAACCACTTGGCGTTGACCACTTGCGCAGCTTATGGCCCTTTACTGCTGACCAGCAGGCAGGAATACTACTTGCTTTTTCACAGTGCTTTACGAGCATTTCCCACTTCACAAAACACTGCCATGAAGCAGGGAGATATAAATAATTATCATTTTACTTGTAGCCCAAGGAAGTCTGTCACTAATACATCACCTGCTCCAAGTTCCTTGACACCATTTACAAATTGTTTTTTCAGAAGTTACTTAAAGCTTTAAAAAACAAAACTCTTACCATCCTCCTCAGTCTGCACAACTAGTTCCTCACTTTCCATCTTGCCCTCAGGATTAGAGAGCACTAGCCTCAGGCGTATGGTCATGAAAGGCCGAAGGCCTCGCAAAGTGTAGTGCGAGGAAGTCTGGATGAGCTCCTCCGCCTCATACTTCTGCTGGTTAAACACGTACTGGTACTGGACGGTAAGGTTGTAGCTATGGCAGCGGGTCACTGCATAGCCAAAGGGTTCCCATTGCAAGGTTAGCTGCCGGGAGCGAATGTCAACAACTTCCACGTTCTGTGGTCCATGGACTGGATCTGTGAAGCAAGTAAAGGAAAGAAAAAGGCTTTAAAGGACTCAGACATCCATTTTCCTGTGTGTACCTGGCCTTTGTTAGCATAGGAGCTATTGAACTTCTAGTTTAGGACCTTCTGTATGCAGAGCTACCTGGGCACTACTTTCTACTTTACAGACTCCCTCAAGGAGATTATGCCTATACTGCCTTCAAGGCACCTTTGAGCTAAGCTTTATCCACCTACTCCTGCTCTGCATGATCCAAAATAAGAACTGAAAGGGTAAAATGCTCCAGAGGTGCTCCCTGCTACCACTCCCGAGATCTTGTTCTTTGCTGTGCTCAAGAGGTGCTAATACAGCATTGCCCCTCTCTCTCCCCCAGTTCCAGGTGTGGTTTGTACAGAGGAATGGGGAGAGGAAGGAGTCTTTAGGAGGAATCTCAAGAGTGCTGCAGAGGTAGTGGGGCCATGGCTTAAGGCAGAGGTGGTCAACCTGTGGCATGCATGCCACAAGTGGCACAGGCAGCTTGTGTGTGGTATGTGGATGGGGGGCGGGAAGGGGAGGGGAGGAGAAAAGCAGCCCAGTGACAGACAGGGCAGGAAGCAGAAAGCACAGCAACAGATTGGGCAGGGGAAGGGAATTAGAGTGGCATTTGGGGAGGATGTGAGGTTAATTTGTGACATGACTGCCAAAAAGGTTATATCCCCCGCTAACTTAAGGAACAGATCCAAAAAAAACAAAACACACACACACACACACCTTGGGCTGAGTGTCACCATGTAAAGTCACTTGGAAGATCTGGGTTTAAATGACTGGCTCATGGCTTCAGAGGAAATCAGTAGAAGAGCAGGTAATTGTACTCAGGTATCCTAGGCCTGATGTTCCAAAGTGCTGGACCATCCCCTTTCCTTCCTTTCCTAGATGCCAGAGAATGAGCACATGCTGGCACAATGCAACACCAAGGTTCTAGGGGTGCGATTTTGGTATTGCCACGACTGTTAGTGGCCCCAAATTTTAAATGCTCAGGAGGCACGCCACTGGCACTGGAGAAGATAGTGATTAGACTGACAAAGCCTTGAATGAGTTATCTGAATCATCCTAACCATGCATCAAGAAAACCAATATTTTCATCATCTCATCTAAAATAGTTTAATCATTCTTTATTATTTTTTCCATGAATTCAGACTGAGGTGAAGATTGAGTATGCACACATAAGAATAAATATCCATCGGCTTTTTTAAGTACTTTTTTAAAAGTAAATTCTCTGACTATGGACCCTGGACTTTACCAGATAGCACATTTATATTTTTTTATAAATCAGACACATTGAAGATTGAGTTGGCAGAGTAAAATCAGTGAAAAATGATTGATGTGTGCCAGGCATCAGGTAGTAATATTATACTTGGTGAAATATATGCAACTTTTATCTGATATTTCTAAATATGGTGCACTACATTTCAGATTTTTTACTCAATATGCATGTGTTCAGGGGAAACAGTGAATGATGCGATACATAATTTTTCTTGCAATTCCTTCATTTGCTGAACATTTAAAATGTTTTACCCACTAATTCTGTCCTCCTAACTTTCAGTCCAAAGGAAGAAACAAACACCACCACACAGGATGAAATAAAAATAGGTTGACATTTTAAAGTGAAATAAAGTGGAAGAAGCAACCCTCTAAAATGTTTTTTTGAGATAACTCTCCCCACTTCCCCAATCATTTCTACCTTTGCTAATAAGTAAGTAAGGAATATATTACAGCAGATGGTGGATATAGAATCTGTAAGAATTAACAATGAGAAAAATAACTGTTGAACGCTGTTATATTTACATGAGGACACAAAAACTTAAAAAAATAAGACATCAAAAAGCAAAGATTTAAAGTCTTATGGCTGTGGGTGAAGACTGAAAATAGCATAAAAACACTGCCCCACATATGGGCAGAAGAAAACTAAGATTGTCACTTGGTTGCTATTGTATTTCAGTTGTTATAGTTAGTTGTTCCTTTCATTATAGCACATTCAGCTATGGGCTACATGGCTCTGTAGATGCATTTTCATGCCTCAAACCCACTGTCTGCTTTGTACCTATTTTTAGAGACAGGCATAGAGAGGTTCAGCAGCTGGTGCAGAAACAGAGTTGATAGAAACTCTAAAATCAGATCCTAGTTACCTGTTCAAGCAACTACCTAACACTTCTGGAAACACACATTTAAGCATGCTGTGTTTAACAAGTGCAGATATTTGAGCATGAAAGCTGGTAACTAATCAATAGCACAGAACAGTACTATATTCACTGTGGTTTGGACTAAGTGGCAAGAAATCCTGTCATAAAACAAAGATTGGACCCTTAGATTGAAATTTGGTTAGACCACTGGGATCTAAAGTCACTGGATAAATGGAAAAAGATGTTGTTGTTATTTTGGCAGGTTTTTTGTTTTGTTTTTTAAGTGAACAAAGGCCAGGCATCCAGTTTAACTTCTCATTCAGAAATGCCAGGACAGTACCGCCTAGTGCAATGTTGAAATTTAGGGTGAGAAAGGTCTCACCCTGTCTTACATCCAAAGTATGGCCTATTGTTTTTTGTTTCATAATTTAGAAAGCCATCTGACATTATGCCTATTGTTAGGCTAATAAATGCTGGTGACCTCTCCAAGAGAATGGTGCAGAGAAACAGGTAGAAAACTTGGCAACATAACAGAATAATTTCACATTTATAAAGGCCTATGAGGATGTTACAACAGAGAAGACAGAAGCCTTTATAATCATCCAATTTTTTTATTAAATAGGATTGGAAATTGTTGAGCCTTGAAAGCCATTAGTTGCAAGCTGAGAACTCCACATATTTTCCCCTCATGGATCCCTAAAAAAAAAGCCACGTGCTGCTGAGATCACTCCAAATGATTTTGGTAAATGGAGCATCTATACTTTTGAAAAGCCTCATGTGATACAGTTCAACTCCCTTTCATTTAAAATTTAAAACAAAAAATGTGCTCCATAAAGGAGGGAGGAAAAAAAGTGAATGCATGCAGATAGACTATTCTTACTGTCAGAAAAGACTCATCTCAGGAAGGTTTTGGGTGTACTAGCAAAGTAGCATGTGGAAGAAACTCATCTGAGTGTTCATGCCTACCAGTGGCCAATCTTGGATTTTTCCAATAGTGAATGAATGAGTTTTCTGCTCCTGCTTCCACACTGTTATTAAGCAGTATCTACATACAGAGGTGCCTTTTTCTATACCCAAATCTCTATGGCTGAGCCATCTTTTTCAAGGACCTTGCCCGATTTGTGACAGAGAAACCATTTGCCACCCTGTAGCAACTCATCTCCTTCTAATTCTCAAACACCCTTGCCTTTTCCTTCCTAACCCTTCCAAAAACCAGAAATCTGAGATCTCCAGTTGTTCACTGAAACATTAAAGAAACCTAATAATCTGTGGAAAGTTAGGAAAACTTGGCCATCACTGACCCATCTGAGGATACACAGTAAAACAAGTGAATACATTGTTTCATTCCCTGAAGGATTATTGATTAGTGGATACAGTTTTAGAAGAGGTGATGCAAACTAGTGGTTTTCAACTTTTTTCATTTGCAGACCACTAAAAATTTCTAATAGAGGTGTAGACCCCTTTGAACTCTAAGCATGGGTATTCACATACTTTTGATTGATCATAGTCATCTTTCGTGGACCTCTTATACATAGTCTCTGGGCCCCCAGGGGTCTGTAGACTACAGGTTGATATAAGCACATGGCCATTCAAGCTTCTAAATTATGTCGCTCATTAGTTTTTTGGGGTTTTTTTTCTATTTGAAATCAGCCAAATAAAGTCTCTGACATAAGGAGTAGAAAGGGATAACATGTATGGTCCTGTTTAACACAGCTGTTACAAAGCTAGGGGCTCTTTAACGAACATCCATCACTCTTAACTCAGAATATGTGCTTTTGAGATGGGGATGTCAGGATCCTGAAGACAGAGGTCAAAATTTCAGGATAGGCACTAGTCTTCACTGTTACAGTGAGTATTATTGGTTTTTTTAGTTACAGAGGGAAACAAAGAGTCACAATAGTTAGCTGATACAGCTAGACTTTGGTCAAACAGCATTGCCTCTGACATCATGATCCCTAATCTTCAGACTGTGTGCATCACAGCAAGCACAGCCGGGTGCAGCAGATAAGGCAATTAATCAAACTGTATTTGGGGCACAACCATTAGGATGAAAATTTTGGAATAAAAAGGAATTGAGAAAAAAATATCAATCTTCCTTCCTGGTCAGATTTAGTTGATTGCTCCCTACCAACAGCACTTATTCATCACAGGCTCTTATTGTTCACAATCTGTACAGGGGTTTCCTTCCTGGCAAAACACTTCTGCATCTGACTCCTGCGGGCAACCGAAGAAGTCTTTGACCCCTTAAATGGCACAAGACAGTAACAAGTCTTGTTTGGGGCTTTATCCGAGGAAAAGTTATCACAACAACAATGTAAAAAAAACTTGTCCCCCAATGCCCCCTCCACTCAGACACCAAATAATCATCCAGTGACTCCTAACCCAAAACCAACATATGCCTGAGAGACAACAAAAATATTCATACTAAGACAACCATAAGGCTGAAGATGGCAATTAATCACTATTGTAATTTTATGGTGTTTTTTTAATTACAGCTATTTTCTTTTTAGTCATTCACATTATAGAATGAGTAATTAATTATGGTGTGCCCGGTTTATCAATGTCAGATTTGCCCACTGCATTGGTGCCGTGGGAAGGGATTGATTCTGACTGAATGTTACCTCACCATCTATTTGCCCCAAACTCAAATTCAACAGTTTTCTAATATTAAATGCATCTAATGTTCCTTCTAATTTTTGTGCTCACCTTAGCACTTTCTGTTTTCTACCAGGACTAGAACCTTACTTTTGTGATATCTTCAATACAGCTTCTAATAAATATGTAGCACTTTTCTGAGATACAGTCTGAGACCTTTCCTTGGTTTTCGAAATGCTGAATCTTTAAAATAACCTGCC